ACCCCGCCAGCGCCGGAGACGGCAGCCCGGCCTCCCAACATGGCACAGGCTCACCCAGCGTGGTCCTGAGCCCCATTCCCAACCACAGCCCTCACTCGGTTCAACAAGGCCCAGCGTCCTCTCCGGAAGCCCCAAGGCGGTGACACAACTCGGACTCTGTATTTAAGAACGGCGGAGGGTGACTCACGTCTGGAAGGCCCTGGGGTGAACTAGAAAGAGCAGTGAACTGAATTCTTCAAAATAAGAACTGAATTTGAAACCCAGCTCTGCAACCATGCAACTGTCACTGTGGTCTCAGGCAAGTCCACTTACCTGTAGACCTCAATCCCCATACTAACGTACTGTGCCCAGCCATCTAGCTGAAGAATCCTTCCGATGCTACACTAGATACGTCAATAAATAATCCAGACACGTAGCTATCACTGGAGCCGAGCTGCGCCAACCTCAGTACATAACTTTGAAAATCCCATGGACGGCCCTACAATCTCACTGGGATGGACTGAGGCCATGAGGCAGGCACTGTAGACGGATTAAACCAGCATCCTTCTTCCTTGCTAGTGCATCGCTATGAGCCAGTATTGACTCGCTGGCAATGACAGAGAGCGAGATCCTCTACAATTACAGGCTCAGCTCTCCATGTGACCTAGTCCAGGCCAATGAGTTTATGAATGCACGTCTGCAGCAGCTCCGTCCATCTTCCCGCCTGCACGCTCTGCAAGGCCTACACGGCAGCGGCTATCGGTAAGGAAGGAAGAACAGGAAAGAAAGGAGAAGCCTGATTCTTCCGTGGCAACCCTGAGCCACCTGGACAGTGCTGGACTTTTCTCTCCCGGAGACAAATACACCCTTCTTCCGTATTGAAGCAAGTTTGGGTCAGGTTTGCTGGCGCCTATAGCTGAACCCATCATAATACACTGGGGTCAACAGGTAAGGTGGGGGCAGAAACTTTGTCTTAACAAAATCCTGTCGTTAAGATTTTCTGTTGGAGATTCGACTGAGAGCAAGTGGTCAAAATAACCTGGTACCCCTCCTCGGCGGGGATTCTCCTGAGACAGCCCATCCATGCACATCCCTGGATAAAGGTCCAGACACAGAGGCTGAGAGAGGGTAAAATGTACGTCCTTGGGCCCAAACGTGCTGCCTGACCTAGATGGCATCCGGCCTGCAGCGCGCGTCCCTCTCAGATGGCAGTTTTTCTGGTTTTCCCCATAGAGGGCCTCCTGTGCTGCATTTTAATAGAAACCTTCTATTTTTATTACGAAAGCAATATAGTCTC